GAGAATGTGTACCTCAGAGTGATTCTTTAAAGTGAATAGCATCCAGTAGTATAACCCTGAGATATACCACTATATGATTTTTACCTCTGGTCATAAAAATTACATTGGAATCATTTAAATTGAATATGGCAATTAGATGAGCATAGTTTGCATGTTCCCTGATAGAGAATATATACAATACCATATGTAGCACTTCATTAAATGTTTCCCAAAAGATGGTTTAACAGTTACTATTCCTTATTACAAAATTTCAGTCATGTACTAATTTATATTTCCTAAGGAATTTTGAATAAGTTTTAAGTTCATTAATATTTAAAATTATTAAATTAGTTTAAAATAATGAGTTGTTATAGCTATTGATTTACAAGTTTGTCATTAAAATAACCAATGCAAAATCATTAATTTTTGTAACTATACTTGTCACATTATCTATTTTTCTGTATTTCTTTAATTTTGCTCCTGTTAGGGCACAAAGGAAATCATCCTACACCCCACATCAGACATAGTGATGATAAAAAGTCAAAAATTTAATAGCAACATTTATACCTTCTGCATACATGGGCTAGGCCCAACAAAATTAAGTAGCTTGCCACATAGCTTCAGAGCTCAGCCAAAACAAGGAAAGGTGGAAAGACAGGTAAATTAAGGAGTTTACCAAAAGTGGCACAGAAAATAAAGGTATGTAGATTTAAGTATTCCATTCACCTCTGAAGAGAGATAAGATTAGGTGTTTCCAGTAGAGTGAAGAAGTTTACTTAAAGAGAAAGGCTTACATATGAATGACTTTTTCAAAAACAACCATCACACAGTCTGCAGAGTCCCTCCCATGAAATCAATCTTTTGCCAAACCCATGTACGTTGGAGTGGAAGATTTTTATTCTCATAAACTTCCTAGTCAACTAGTTAATCTCAGTCAAAAAAACACTTATTTCTTATTAGTTAATGACTCAAATCTAGTTTGTGCTATTTAAGAGCCCTTGGTTGGCATTATTTGCTACATGACATTAATACATATTAATTTTTAATGATAATTGTTTAGAATGATATTGTTTAGAATATTTTTATTAAATGTTTGTAGTACATAATGAGTTGTAGAATGAAATACCTTTATTTGCCTAATTTTTTAAAAAATGCATCTTTTTTAGTGGGATAACATTCATTTACAGCACAGTATATAATTTAGGAGTAAAGGTTTATGACTCTTCAGAAATAAATTTCACATCACACCCAACATCCAAAAAAGCACCCATAATACTCCACCACACTCCATTGAGTCCATTGGGTCCCATTTTCTTCCTATCTTTCCCCTTTCGTTGCCTCAGTTCTTCAGTGAGGTTTCTAGGGATTTTTTTTATTATTATTTCATTTGTTCTGTTCCTCTGGTTTTTTGTTTGTTTGTTTGTTTGTTTTTTCTCTTTTCATATTCCTCACATGAGTGACAACATCTGATACTTGCCTTTCTTCTTCTAACAGCCCCATCCATGTTGTTACAAGACTTCACCTTTTCTGCAGCAGTGTAGTATTCCATTTTGCAGATATGCCACATCTCCTTAATCCACTCATTTTTTGTTTGGCACTCAGGTTGTTTCCATAGCTTGCTATCGTAAATGAAACTGCAATAAAAGTAACAATATGTATATCCCTTTGAACTAGCATGTCTTATGTTCTTTTGATAGAACCTAGGAGAGGAGTTACTGGATCATATGACAGATTTATTTTTAATATTTTGTAAAACATCCATACATACTATTTTTCACAGGAACTGGACCAGTCTACTCTCCCACCAACATTGCCTTTCTTGTTGTTCCTTATAGTTTTTTGATATGGACCATTCTCACTGATGTCAGGTTGTATCTCTTTATGGTTTTGATTTACATCCCAAATGATAACTGATAGTGAGCATTCTTTTACATGCCTGTTGTCTGTATTTATTTTTAAAAAAATGTACAGAAGTTAGCTATGTCATTTTAATAGATGTTGAGGTATCTTTTATCTACATTTTTTAGAGTTTTTGTCTTTAATGGGCGGTAAATGTTAAAAAAACACATCTTATAAATTTTGATAGGATCTTATAAATTTTGTACAGATTTTATGTTATGAATTTGTAATGATATGTTACAAATATGAATTTTATGTTATGAATTTATAACAATGTGTTATAAATATGAACCATCCTTGCATACCTGGAGCAAATCCAACTTAGTCATGTATGATCCTTTCAATATATTGTTGAATTTGGTTTGCTAATATTTTGTTGAGTGTATTTACATCTATGGTCATCAAAGATATTGGTCCATAATTTTCTTTCTTTGTGCTTTTAGTATCAGAGTGGTATTAGTCTTCTAAAATGTGTTTGGAAGCATTCACTCTTCCTCAATTTTTGTTTCATTTATATCAACTTGGTTTTCTCTTAGAGCCAGGTGAGTTAAGTTAAATATTGTTATTCCTTCATGAATGAAGTAGAAATTCTTCTTCAACTGGTTGAAGATTGATATAATAGAGAAGATGATGAGTTTAGTAATGAGTGGAGGCTTGGTTTTTCAGAAGCTATTGAAGTTCTAATCGATTGCAATAAAAGTTATTACAATAAACTGGTTAAATGTTGTGTAAGATATTAGATACATGCAGAATTTAAGGTAACAGAATAGAATTATGTAACTGGCAGTTTATCATTGGAATTCTGACAGTGATTCACATAGAGTAAAAGGGTGGAGTCAGAGAAAGTGTGTTATTTACCATGAGAATTCAGAGTACACTTGTGCCCTCATATTTAATTTGACTCAGGTTCACTGTCAAACCAGTGGACTGAGTAAGTAATAGGATGGCAACTCTTGTGTTTGCATGTTAGCCAAATTATCCCTATCCAGAAATAAAATTTCAACCATGAAAATTTATTCTAAAAGGAAACTCTGATTTTTCTGAAAATTTGTGTCACATAACAAGGAAAGAAAAAATGTTATTTCTATAGATTAGTTTACCACTGTTTGCCTGGGGTGGTAAGAAAGGTAGCCATCAATTTATTGTAGAACAAAAGGTACATCTTCCATTTGTTTTTCCATTCAGTGTTATTAAAATATTCTAAATTGGGCCCTCTCTGGTGGCACAGCACGTTAAGGCACAGCATTAAGAAGCTAAAGCCACTTCAACATGTGCTCCCTCCTATCCTGGAGGTGACCCACATGGCGCAGCAGACCTCTCCTGACCCCCTCAGCAATATACTTTGTCAGAGGACCTGTTTTACTCCCCACTCTGTCTGGTGTACTTCTGGCCTGTACTTCTGGCCTGTGCCTCAGTTCTGTATGCATAAATAAATAAATATATTAAAATTACATTAAATTATATGAAGAAGTAATTTTTTAATGCATATATACACAATGATTCTTCTAGCAGTTTCTGAGATATTCAGCAGTTTAAATAACAAAATTAAAATATTATCAGATTACCTTTCCTTCAATCATAATTTTGAAAAATTCATAAAGAAGCCACTTAAATATAGGTAGGCTGAAATAAAACAAGGCAGCAATAGAACCCTTGTTTTTTAATGCTGTCATTCTTTTAGTTTTTGATATAAATAACTAAACTCTTCAATATAAGGATATGTGTATAATTACTGATTATCCAACATTTTTAATAAAATACAGTTTTAATATTCCAAGATGTAATATTTAACATCTTAATGTTAAACTTTCTAAATGTTTTTTGGTTGCTCTTGATTTCAGAAGTAGCTGGTTTAAATGCATAATGAATATATATTCAAGTACATCCAATTTGCTTGCCTCTAAGACTTCCACACTTTCATGTTCAATTTAGAAATATAACCTTGAGTTATTTTTAAATGTGTTTATTAATTATTTTATAGCTATAGTATTTTAAGAGTTTTTATATAAAATGTATTTGCCATTGATAATATATCACGTTAACTAATGTTCAACAATGATCACCAATGTCAAAGAGTATATACAGACTTGTAGGAATTTTAGTTTTAACATAATGGTTTCTTTAAATTATTAGACACTTTAAATATGATGCCTGGTTTAAAAAAAAAAGATGCTTAATAAATTTTGTTAAAATAATGAACAAGTTTTTAAAGTCTTAAAAAATAGAGCTGTAAGTGCTGACTAGAGTACTAAGAAATAAAAGTTTCATTGAGTTTAATTAAGCACGATTAAATACCCTGCCAAGCTCAGAAAACAGTTTTTAGAAATACTAGCAGTCCTTAGGCAACACAGGAGCCTTTAGTTAAATGAATTAAAAATGAGATTGAGAATAGAAATTTCAACACAGAGGCCTACTCTATTAATTTGCTGATCATTGCTGAAAATTAGCTACACATCTGTTTTTGTGTATGTGTGAAACTGACATGTGTTATTGGCTCAATTAAAGTTAATGCACAGAATTAATTCTGACTAAATCCCTTATTTTCAAAATCATGATTTTTATGTTAAGTTTTCTAATTAAATTTCTAATTTTTAATGCCTTTTCTCTCTTCCACAGCATTTAATGGAATTGTTAGTTTCTGATTAAAGGCTTCTGATAATGAAATAGCCAGTATGTCTACTTACTACACAAATTATAGAAATAAAATTGCATGCTCTCAACAGTAAATGGAGGTTACTGTAATATATTAGTCATAGTGGATTTTCTTTTTGTTGATAGTATAAGATGGCTTATTCTCCATCTTGCTTCTAAAAAATTAATAACCTCAAAAATAAAAGCAAGTACAAAAGCTTTGGGTATTCTGCAGGGCTGAATTTTGAATAAATAAATCAATAATTTTTTTAACTATTTGTTAAATGATTATAAATGTGTTCCTCTGCATTTGAAATGAAACTGTTCACTTTTTTTTTATTACTAATTTTCTTCTCAAGAAAGTCACTAGTACTTTAAGGATTTGAAATTGCCTGTTGTACACGCACTGAAAAACTGTTAAAAGTCAGTGATATCCATTCAATTTGATTATTTACCTTTTGACTATGGGTTTGTTGTTGTTGTTGTTTTAGGATTAAAACAAGGAGAGCCAACCATGACTGGCAAAACACAGACCAGCAATGTCACCAATAAGAATGACCCAAAGTCCATCAACTCCCGTGTTTTCATTGGCAATCTGAATACAGCTATTGTCAAGAAAGTTGATATTGAAGCCATTTTTTCAAAATATGGAAAAATTGTTGGATGTTCAGTTCACAAAGGTTATGCATTTGTACAGTATATGAGTGAGCGGCATGCAAGAGCTGCAGTGGCGGGAGAAAATGCCAGAATCATCGCAGGTCAACCACTTGGTAAGTCAAGCTTAGATACATTTTCACATTAGTATTCTAGTTTCTGCATATATCTGGATATGATCTTATTTTTAAAAGCCACCACCACCACCAGAATTCTATACTTCACATAACCAATTATGTTGTTTGCACATTATCATATATATTTTTATGAAATATTGTTATGCATGTTCATCTTATTTCTCTCTAAAAAATTATATATCTATGATCAAATCTGTTTGTAGTACTTGTTACATACACAAGTGCTAACAGAGTCAGGCAAATGGGAAATATGCATTAATGTTTTATTTTACTTAAGATGGCTTCTGCTTTTCAGAAAACAGTACAGGATCTAAAAGAGTTACTATTTGATGTAAAGAAAATTAACTTTGCCTTTTATAGTTAAGGCACTTGATCTGACAGCAGTTAATGTATTTTCCTCATTTTCCATTTTTATGTTTTGGGGAGAAAGTATAGAATAATAGTAAAAAGTAATTAAATTTAGAGACATGGAAAAGAAGTATAATCCACTATTTCTTAGCTAGTTAGGAATTTTGTATTTTATGGCTATCAGTTATGTTTAATATAATCAATATATGTCTAATATCCAAAGGTTAATATAGTTTTCTTCAAAGAGTGGAGAATAAAAATACTGAAAAGAAAATATTGTATAGTTAATACATAGATAAAAATTTTAAATAAGCTGTTTTTTCTACCTGATGAAATGTATAACACATCAGTGATTACCAAATTTATACCTAGTTCCTGTTAAGATCCATATTTCAAACTGATTATATAGCATTTTTTTCTTGGATATCCAAGAGGTTTCTCAACCTTGTATGTCCAAAACCAGAGTCTTGATTTTCCAGACACCCTGGTTTGCTGCACATCTAGGTTTCATCATCATAATAACTTGAGCACCATTCTATCCAGTTTTACAAACAAATCTCTAGATGTCCATTATGACTCTTCTTCCCCCCCTACATTCTAAGTAGATCACAGCCTCAGTTTCTGCAAACCCAGTCACCTCTCCTTCTATACTCAAAGCCCTTGCCTATAGGTCATTATATAACAGCTGGGCATAATCCATAACTCCTGACATAGCCTCTAATTGATCACCGCTGACATGGTGTCCTTTTCAAAAACATAAATGAGCTTATGCTCTTAATCTGTTTTTAAATCTCTAATGCCCCTTCATCGCACCCAGAATAAGATTTATGTTCTGTACTGTACTAAAATACCCTACACTGCTACTTCTTCAACTCCACTGCCTTCTTACACCATTTAGCAGTGCTCACAAACTGGATATGCTTCACAAAGTCCAAGACTGTCCCTATCTCAGAGGCTCTGGATTTGCTAATTCTTTACTGCCGCCTTGTGTGTTCTGCTCAAATTTCTCTCCCCAAAGAAATTTCTTGAGTCAACTAAGTTAGAATATAATCTATTCTTTTGCCTACATTGTCTATACCATTACAAGTTACATTTTCCATAGCCCTCTTAATACCTGAAATTAACATATGTTAACTTACTATATTACATCTACCATGTACACAGACTTTAAGGTGAAGAAACTAAAACTAGCTAAAAATATAAAGTTAGAAAAATGCTGAGAGTATTGTATTATTTCATAGTTATGAAAAATGTTTGGAAAGGTGTGAAATGAAAGTGAAAATCACAGTCTTGAAGAAAATACCCAAAAGATATTTTAAATAAGTGCTTCTATCAATCTACAAATAATTATTGCTACAGAGGAATATAGACTTTATTTGCATTACTCCTATTCATTTCATTGAGTGAATGGGTAGTACTTTCCAAAAGACATTGGTAAGTTTTTTATCTATCTGTTCTTTTCCACTTCACTTAATGATCTTTCTCTACTTGGTAACTTTATAGAAAAAAATTCTGAACTTTTTCTTTCTCAGTGGAATTTTTAATTTAGCAACATCTAAGCCTTTCAAATCTAAGGGAAATCTGCACTTATTGCTTATATCCTGTTACTCTGAAACTAGCATATAATTGTGGAAATATATTTAGTTATTTAAAAAATGGATTTCCAATTTATGTCAATTAAAAGTTTGATTCACTTATTAATGAAATGTAACTAATTTTCTGGAGTCCCTCTTTCCTATCACACTCCATTGATCACTATCTTGTTGTGAAGAATGCATGGGAAGAAGAAATACCTGTTCTAAAAATGTAGTAGCTTACCTAGGACAAGCCAAGGAGAAAAATGATGACACCAAATTACTTTGCTTTGAGAGGCACAAAATTTAAATTGTGCTTCTAATAAGACCCAATTTCTCATTCCCGGTCACTCCTCTCAGATCCTCTCTTAGTTGTATCCTCAGGTTAGTCTCTGAAGCATGTGTATTAATCAGCAGTAATCACTCTTCCTTCCTGAATTGAAGGAGTCTTCAACAAAGACTCTTGTATTTTAGTTGAAGTCTAGTCTTTCTCTATATGTATCTAAAATGAATGTCTTTTCATACAAAGCAAGTGATCTATAATTTTACTGAATGACTTTACCTTTCACGTCAAATGTCTGAATATACCCACTTTCTCTTAAATCATGTAATTAGAAACAGGCAAAAGCATATGTTCCAGTTGTGACCTACGGGAAACTGATTCCTCAATGAAATCCTGAAATTCCAGGAGGCATATCTACTTCATATTAAACATTATGCTTTTGATTTTGATAATAAAGGAAATGCTAGTTTTAGAGATTAGGGTAAATAGTAATAGTATCAGAAGAAAATAAACATCCTAATGTTAGTTCTTATAGTTCAATGAAGGTTATAGCATAGCTTAAAATAAGAATAGACTATATACACTATTCAATCTATAAATTATTAAAAGGAAAATAGTTGTTTTGATTCTGTAATTAGATGAGATACTGAAAGGTATTAATTTGAGTAGTAATATATTGAAATATTTCTTTTTGAAAGAAAGTCTGTCAGTAATTTGGTAGGTGTGTTAGTGTGATATAAAACTAGAAATACAGATACTTGATCAGTGCCTTCTGAAAGAGTTCAAGCTTCAAATTAAGGAAATGAAGAGGGGAAAATAAACAGAATCGGGGTGGGGGGAGATCTCCAGACCCCATAATCCTGGGTTGTGGTCTCTGTTGAATAGTGTTGCAGATCAATAGGATGAGACAGAATGATTTCTAAAGGGAAAAAATAAGATTTTGTGTAAGCCACTGAGTTCAAAACTGAGTCCATTTATTAAGTATATTTATCCAAATGCCTGAGGATACCCAGATATATTACCAGTTGAATCTAGTTCAAACTAAGAGTAGAGATTTGTGAGTCATCAACATAGATAGAGCAAAAACTGTAGAACACGATACACTCCTTCACAGCAAGGATAAGCTATGAGAAGATGGACTGAAAATGAATCTGTGTGGAGAAATCTTGGATCATAATACCTTTCTCATAAGCACTCTGAAAATCTACACCAAAACTGTTTTGTATGTTATTATTTGATTCCCCTATTGTAAGCCATGAGTAGATTACCTCCCTAAACTTTCTGTATTAGATGATTACTTTCTTAGCTTAGAGTTCTTAAGTCACTTGTCTTAAACTGCTAATTATCACTAATTGTCCAAGGCCATATCTATAAATGTTTTCATTGATACTGATTTTTAAAAAGTTCATTTATGAGAACTTAATCACATTATTCAAGGCATAAATTTCCTTCAGTTGCATCTGCCCAGCCAAATAACAGAGAAAGCTCTCTCTACCTTGCCAGCTTTTATTGTCTGACTTTCATAAAATGATTGGCATGGACAGAAATATCCCTCAACTAATTACAAATCAACCATTGCAGACCTAACTAGTATGCTTTTACTCATGTGACTGTAGTACATCTGAGAATTATAGAGCAAGAATTCTATATGTATGTTATGAAATATTCTCTATCTTTCTGGAAAAATATTTTTGCATGGAATTTTGAACTATATATTTTACATTAGTTTCAAATTCATAGTAAATAAGAAAGGTTTCTTTTAATTGATAAATCCTACCTAAACACTATAGTATGTAGAATAACTAGGAGCTCAGAAATTGGAGCACAAAATACTAAAACTCTAATCTGAATTTGAAAGTAAATCAGAGTGTAAGATCTTGATTAGCTTCTCCTTCTTAAATTCTATGTTGACAAAGGTTCCTAATTTCTTTAACAGAACACATGAAAATGCACCTTGAATTAATTCAGTGATGCATCCATTTTTTTTCCAACATAAAATGAACCTAAGGAATGTTCCATTAAAAGAAAAATTTGTTTCATGAAGTAATTTCCCTTTAAAAACATATAGCACATAAACTAATAATGAATGTATTTTTTCCTCCTTGGGGTTGGAGTCCTATGTTTTTATTATTCCAGAGCAATTAAATGAAAATAAACAAAAAGATTTCTATCTATATACAAGTTTCCAGTTTTTTAATCTATGATCAAAGCATGGCCTAGACCTAATTGTCAGGTATATATACTTATTTAGGGCACCTTCCTGGCCCCATTTTTATCCTATTTTCTTTCAAGTCTATGGATTAGTTCTGAGTCTTCTCATGTAACCTGTGGTGGCACTGATCTCATCCAAGCTGTGTTTCCAGGCGGTAGCACACATTTCAAGTTCATCTCTTTTCCTTGTGGTTATTCTTCTCTCTCCCAGACCACTGTGGCTGTTTGAGTACATTTATCTGATACTATACACTGTATCTCATGCTTGAAGATACAGTAATTGAGCACATGAAAGGAACTGAAATAAATAATCTGTTTGTACAGAGATATATTGTTACTGTCTCTGCCTTCCACGCACCCATCACAGCCTATCTCATGGAACTATACAGAAAAGGAATCTTGGCTGTAACTTACCTTAGACACTATTATACATTTTCAGTCTTTAACACATCCTTTGCACAGTGGTGGAAAAAAGATATGCCTTTTTATCCCCGGTCTCCTGCCTTTGATATGTAATGGAAAATTGTTAAGTCGTCTGTGGGAAAGTAGAATTGATTGCATTT